ACTAAGCTAATCAGAACCGATCCGAAAACACAAAAAGAACAATTGTCTGTCTTTGACACTTTCGCTATTATGGTAGGATAGTGTGGTTGAACAATGGGACAGGAAATTCACCTGTGAAAATAAAGGCCCCACATAGAGACTAGGAAGTAACGCTTCCTCTTGCCTACAGTTGGATAAGTTCCCTAATGCAGCCATACTGAGGTAACACAAACAACATACTTTGGACAATCAGTAGGACACAATCATGGTCACGGAAAGCATGACCCGGCAAATGCAATGGCGAAGCCAAGATGATGCGAACTAGTGGCAAGGATCTGAGTGTGAGTGGGTGGGTGATGCCGAGTAATGGCTACTAATGATTGAGTAGAGCGACAACACAGCACAAGACTAGTACCAACAACAATAACGATTTCCTGTAACATACAGTCATTATAAAACACAAAATATTCTGTGTGTAATATCAGATAGTCAAAGTTCTGTTTGGCAGTCATGGTTCTAAGACGGTGATGCAACTCAAGTATCATCTTTAAACTGATTAACTTCAACCTAGTCGACCACACAAATCTTGAATCAGGCTGAGTAACCAGGCTTCAGACAAAAGAGATGTTGCATGTATCTAGGGTGAAAACAACTAAGTATGTAGCTGCAGTAGTTCGACATAAAATGTCGGCGCGCCAACTGTCCATCACTCGTACCCAATCAAACACGCTGACTTTGAAATTCAACTCGCTCCTCAAACACCTCCACGGCATACACACTATCTATCTAGACTTCATCAAGAAAGAGCCACATACAGATAGATGGATGACGAATACGCTTGACGCAAAGTAGACCTCAAGATGCCGCAGTCTTCATCGCGTACTTCCTGCAATCAGACGCAATAGCACCCTTCACTCGTGTTAAGGAAGAGCGAAGACGTCAACAGAAATGTCCAAGTATTCTACAATGTCCACGTCCACGAACCACATTCAACCTCAGCCCATTCGACATCCACTTCACCGAACTCACAACACACCACACTGAGCAAGACGACTCACCCAAATATCATAGTCTGGGAAACAATGATCCACAGCAAGGTATTCGGTCCACGTTGCAAAGCCCTCATTCAGCCACAGATCCGTCCACCATGACATTGTCACCAAATTCCCGAACCACATATGTGCCAACTCGTGCGCCACTGTCAACGCAACATACTTCTTTGAGGAGAGGGAGGAGTTTTCGGGATCCAGCAAGAGGGCCGTCTCTCTAAAAACACAATAACGAGTAAGAGAGCGGCATAGTTTAAAGCTTGGCAGGATCAAATCCATCAGTCAGATAAGAGATATTGTACCAATGGACAAAGTGAACTCCACTGCCCTCACAACTACTCCCAAAAGCACTGAACCTCCATCCACCCTCCACCTCCTCCACTAACTTCTCTCAACTCTTTCTCCACCACTACCCTTCAGTCGACACACATTTCAGCCATTACTCCCAATACCACCAACACCACCACCACCTTAGCCTC